CTCTTGTAGACAGCATATATATGGGTCATGTTTTCTTATCCATTCAGCCACTCAATGTCTTTTGATTGGAGGATTTAATCCATTTACCTTTAAAGTTATTATTGATAGGTACTTGTTTGTAGCCATTTATATTTTTTATGCCTGGGTTACTTCTTCTCTTTCTTTTCTTCTTTTTAGCATTTCTTGCATTGCTGGCTTGGTAGTGATAAACTTCCTTAGCCTTTTTTTGTCTGTGAAGCTCCTGATTTCCCCTTCAGTTTTGAATGATTGCCTTGATGGATAGAGTATTCTTGGATTCAGTCCCTTGCTTTACATTACTTTGTATACTTCATTGCATTTCCTTCTGGCCTGATGTGTTTCTGTTGAGAAATCATTTGATAATCTAATGGGGGATCCTTTGTAGGTAACTCTCTGTCTCGCAGCCTTTAAGATTCTCTCTTTGTCATTAACATTTGCCATTATCATTACGAAGTGTCTTGTGGGGTGGGTCTTTTTGGGTTCATCTTGTTTGGGACTCTCTGTGCTTGAGTGACTTTTTTCTTCCCCATATCAGGGAAGTTTTCTGTCATTATTTCTTCAAATAGGTTCTCTAATCCTTGCTGCTCTTCTTGTCTCTCTGGCACCCCTATTATATATATGTTGCTTCGTTTCATGTTGTCCCAAAGCTCCCTTAGGCTCTCCTCCTGCTTTCTAATTTTTTTCTCCAATTGCTGTTCAGATTGGGCTTGTTTCTCTGCCCTATCTTCTAGCTCACTAATCTGATCCTCCATTTCTCTTAGTCTATTGTTGAAGCCTTCCTTTGTGTTCTTTATTATAGCTATATCACTTTTGGTTTCTTCTTGGTTCTTACATAGGTGTTGATTTTCTCATCCATCTGGTTTATGAACTATATGACCATTACTCTGAACTCTGAATTCTTTTTCTGATATAGTGTATGCCTCCTTTTCATTTAGTTCCTTTTGGGGGGGGGGTTCCTCCTTTTCTGTCCTTTGAGGGTGGCTTTTTTTTTCTCCCCATTTCTGCTGTTGCTGTAGGGTCCTGGCGCCCAGTTGCATGGGAGGGTCCTGGCACCCAGTTGCATGGGCCCTGCCCTGTGGCTGTGGGCTTGGTGGAAGTGTCCTGCACACTGACAGTAAGGGGGCTGGCTCAAGTGCTCAGGAGATGCGGCCACAGTGGTCCAGGCAGGGTCTGCGCACACCGGTAGTCAGGGGGTGGCCTTGGGATGCATGAGATATGTATTGCCAGGTGGGTAGGTGGAAGGGGAATACACTCCAGGACCCACAGTAGCCTGAGACCGGTATGGGTGGAGTTGGTGCCCATGAGTCTTCAGCTGCGGTAGCTGGTATTTGTCCCGATTGGCTGTGGGGTCTCAGTTTTCATCTGAGGCCAGTCTAGGTGGTGGTGTGGCTGGGCTCCTAGTCAAAGCAGCTCTGCCCTTCAAGATGGTGTGGTTTCTGTGTCCCCCTTCTTTTAGTTTCTACAATGATATTTCAGAATATTTTATTTGTAACTCTTCACCTCACTAATGATTTGATTTGATGGTTGAAATGAGATTTTTTAAAACTCAATTTTGGCAGTAATTTTGCTCTCCTTTCACATCTTTCACATTGAACATGAGTGGAAGGGCTCGATTGATTGGATGAGGGTTAAACTGAAGAGTAGCCATTATTCCCATTGCTTTAATTATTCCATCCTCAAGCCAGGATGGACCTTGCTCTATTTCCCTCTGGTAGGCCTGACAGACTATAACTGACCTAATTGATACCAGATGACAGCTCAAATAAGGCCTAATAAAGAAGTAATCACACTAATCTAATGAGCAAGCTGTTATGATATTGGCTTATAGGAAGCTCCTTTTTAATTCCCTCTATTTTTTTTCTTTTAGTCTCTATAACCACTGCTCCCAAATGCTTTTTCTGTTATTCTAAAATCAGAGGACTAAAATGGGCCTTGGGAGAACATCAGCTCTATTTCCTATTCTTTTCCCTATCAGATATGTATTTACATATTTTTTTCCATCTTTTAAATATAGAAATGTCAGACATATTGAAAAGTTGGAAGACTAGTACAATGATCATATATATACCCACCATTTACCTTCAATAGCTGTAAATATTATTTTTGTCATGTTTGTTTGTTTATATTTATACTAGAGGCCCGGTGCACGAAATTCATGCATGGGGGAGGGGGGTGTGTGTCCCTCAGCCCAGCCTGCACCCTTTCCAATCTGGGATCCCTCTCACAATCCAGGACTGCTGGCTCCCAACTGCTTTCCTGCCTGCCTGCCTGATTGCCCCTAACTGCTTCTGCCTGCCAGCCTGATCACCTCCTAACCACTCCCCTGCCAGCCTGATTGACGCCTAACTGCTCCCCTGCTGGCCATATTGCCCCCAACTGCCCTCCCCTGCTGACCTGGTTGCCCCTAACTGCCCTCCCTTGCCAGCCTGTTTAGTCAGAGCCTAGCACAATGCCTAAACATATTAAATGTTTCAGAAATGCTCTCCAATAGGCCAACTGATGTAGAGAGCAATTGGGCCCAGTAGTGTAACTAGCTACATAGACACTTTTACAAGGGAGACTACATATTGGATATGGCCTATCATTCTAGAAAAGGAAGACTATTGGTCTGGCATAGTACTATTCATATAAATGGATAACATTAGAAACTTCCCTTTAGAGAAGTAATGGGAGAGAAGATTGGAAACATAGAGGGAGTTGCTAATGGAGAAGGTACTTGAATAGAACCTCATTTTATTTATAATTCTAAAAAGGGTTATAGAGAGTTGCCCTCCTTACACATAGCAGGGGACTTCAGGCTTTATTTTACCCCTCATCTCAGAATAGTTGTAACCAAATCCAATGTCAGAAGACTAAACCAGCATAGCATATAGTATGGAGGCAAGCTTTTCTAAAAATGCTTTATGCCTTTTTGAAATTGTGTGAGCTTGTTTCTTGGCAGTTTACATATACCCATAAAAGTTGTCCCACATTTTCTAGTGGATGAGTCAGGTTGATAACATCTGAATCAATTAATCAATCTTTGAACATTATGTAAAGAGAGACAATCAGATAATATGTCTCCTGATGAGATGCACAGTAGAGAGACAAAAGACATGATTTTTATGATTATTGTCAAGAATAATTAAACCTAAATATGATCAAGCTTTTTGATCTAATACCAGTATACAGGAAGTACAGGCAAAAAGGAACATGTTAAATAACACCATAGGGATGCATTCAGCAAAATCCAGATTATGGAATATTTTCTAGGACAAATCACATATATATGTGTTTGAAATACATATATATGATGTAAGCAGGGATATTTGAACAATAAATAGATATTTAGTGACATTAATAATTTATTGTTAATTTTTAAAGTATGAAATGCTTTTGTGATTGTTTCTGTTTAGTAGAATTATCTTGTAGAAATATATTTTGAAGAACTTATAGATGAAATGATATAATATTTAAAGTTTGTTTTAACATAGGGGATGGGTATTGTTGAGGTTATACAGATAATGTATTATATCGAATTGTACACCTTAAACCTATATAATTTTGTTAACCAATGTAACCAATACATTGAATTTAAAAATAAAACAAGTTTGGACATATGTTGATAATTTCTTAATCTGGGACAAGGTATCCTATATAATAAAAGCATAATATGCTAAGTGTTCTGTAGTCCGGTTGTCCGTTCAACCAATCAAAGCGTAATATGCTAACGATATGCTAAGGCCACTCAACCACTTGCTATGACATGCACTGACCATCAGGGGGAAGACGCTCCAACCAGTAAGTTAGCTTGCTGCTGGGGTCCGGCCTTTTGGGACTTAGTGAGACGGGCTGGACATGCCCTGGAGCCCTCCCATGGTCTCTCCCCAGCTGGCCAACCTCCGTGTCCCTCCCCAATCCAGATCGTGCACTGGTGGGGTCCCTCAGCCTGGCCTGCAGCCTCTCACAATCCAGGACCCCTCTAGGGATGTCAGAGAGCTGGTTTCAGCCCAATCTTGCTCAACACAGGGGCTATCCCTTGGTGGTCAGTGCGCTTCCACAGGGGGAGCGCCACTCAGCCAGAAGCTGGGCTCACGGCTGGCGAGTGCAGAGGCGATAGTGGGAGTGGGCTGTTAAACTGGCAGTCCGACATCCCCCAAAGGCTTCCAGACTGCAAGAGGGTGCAGGGGCCCCCCCCCCCCCGCCCCAGTGCATGAATTTCATGCCCTGGATCTCTAGTATGGCATAAACAATGATTCCGAAATTTTGTATATGTTTGAAAATTGTCATAATTTTTTTAAAACCACTAAAATAGTAGTTATACATTTGAAATTTTTGATTTTCCACCATTTTCCTTAGCTTTTTTTTTCTATTTCTAAAATTGAGCTGTGATTCATTAAAACATAATGCTTCTCATAAGTATCCAGGCTCTTTTCTATGTTTACAACATTCTTCAGAAGCTTATAAGGTTCCATCCACATGTCAAAAATAATAGTTGGCTTTCACATTTATACAGCATGTACCTGGAAAAGTAAAGAAAAGAATCCAGTTCTCCAGTCCCTGAGTTCTCAATACACTGGTTTAGACGACTACTAAACTATGAGCCAGATGATATATAAATACCCAAATCCTTCCAGCATATCATATGAAATGATAATTCATTCCTGAGGATAGCGTCTGTTAGAGAGACTCTTCTATACTATCTGACAGCCCCAAGATTGTTTGGGTTCTTGACATGACTATGGGGATATAACTGAGCGTAGCAGTAGAATAATCAACACTGGATTGATTCATGTTCTGTTAACCTCACCATGAATTATTTTTTGTTTTTCCCTGGGAAAACAGTCACATATGTCACTGAGCAGGAGCATGGATTTAGGAGCTAGTTCTGTCACTAACTTTTATGCTTAAGGTAAGATGCTCTCTTTGAGCTTTACCTATAAAATGGTAATAATAATACCTACCTCACAGGTGATGGTGAAGGTTACATGAGATATGAATATATGATGTACCTGGAACAGTGTCTGCCATGTGTCTAAGCCATCATCACCTGGTCTTAGCCATTATCAGCGAAGGAGCCTCTTTCCTTGTTTTTGGAATATGTAGACCTTAATACCAGTATGGATGAACTGGATTCAAATGTTTCTCTTTCTCTACAACATCCCTTGAAAATAGCAAGTTAAGCATCCTTCTGTGTATACATGGAATATGATTACACTGTCACTAATTAAGGTGATTTTAAAAGATAATTTTTGAAAATCAAATACTATTTTTAAGATGCCTTCCAAAATCTACTCTATCAATACAACTAATTAGATATGTGGGAATATCTTTTGTAACCCGGTTATCTTAGAGGAATGGTATTGATTTTTTTCCTGTCCAGCATTTTTCCTTTTCCTTTTATTTATTTATTTATTTATTTATTTATTTATCTTTTAAATAAAAATCCCTTGGTTTTCTTTTGAGGACCACTTCTTCCCATTTTTTGTTCTGTGTGAGGGGTCAGCAAACTTTTTTCTTAAAGGGTCAGATAATAAATAATTTAGACTTAGCAGGCTATGTGGTTCCTTGTAACTGCTCAATGGTGTCTTTGTAGCATGAAAGCAGACATAGACAATACATGGACAAATAGGCATGACTGTTTTCCAAAAAACCTTCATTCACCAAAGCAGGTAGCTGACTTGTGGGCCATAGATTTCTGACCCCTAGTGTCTGACATTCAGATGAAACTCCCCTCTCTCTCACTTTCCATTTTACTAGTAAGTATAGGCACATGAGCTAGAACTGGCTAATAAGTATATTTTATCCACCTGGCCACCTGTGATAGGCTCATAATGGGCATTCCCGTTTAAACTGGGCCAATTAGAATTAAGCCCAGGACTTTTGCTATTATTATTAAGGGAGATGCACTTTCTTTTAATTGGGCTTGCTTATTTGGTGGAATATATTCCTGATAGGCATCTTGTCACCAGAATGAGGAAGTCCACCTGAGGGTAAAGCCACCACAGAAGAACACAGAGCTCAAAAACAGATGAGACCTAAGACCTTTTGTGTCAGGAAGAATTAGATGTTTGTTTCAGGAAAACATTTCCAGAAAAAATAAGACTACAAAATCAATAAATTACTGTTTATGTTAGGTGAAGCTTTTTAAAAAATATTCGCAGTATAAAATGATTTGGGGTTTATATTTCACTATAGAAAGTTAAGGTTTTGATTACCTATGTTTACCTGAGTTAGACCCAAAATAGTAAATTATTTTAGAAAAGTTTTGGTCGTGGAAGTGGTCATTTTCTTAGTCCATGGCCGATTCTCAAGAAATTTAGTGGCTTTCCATTTAAGCACATGTTCTTTTAGACATCATAATTTCTAAAATGAATTACACCCTAATTACCCCCAGGATGGACAATTATCAAAGCATATGGGTCTACATTTAATTGGCCAAGAAAAATAACTACATTCTAGATTCTTTCCAGGCAGTATCAATTCAAACTCACCGACACTTTTATTTTTGCGTTAATGCGGACAATAGAAAGCTGTGAATTTAGGTCACATTGTTTTGCTTCTGTTGAACTATAACTGAAAGCTTTGCTATTAGTTTACTGAAGGTCATTGTTTAAAAATAGCCCCATGGAACTTGTTGCAGTTACTGTTGCAGGATATAATTAAGGATTTATTCTCCACATACTTGAAAAGTGTACTTTTTAATGAGAATCCATGAGAAAAATTCTTTCACATCTCTCTGCCAGGAATAGTCTGATAATGCAAATCAATAGAGCAATTAAAAAAAAAACTTATGAACACCATTAATCATGAAGTTATTCTCTTTGAACAAACTACTAAGTTACTCTATGTTTAGTTTATGACTCACATCTAGTAAAATTATAGGATCTTATGGCATGTATTTTTGAGAAATACCCTTAAGTCATTTTTCCCAGCCATTATTTTTCTTTTATCCCAATTTCCCTAATTAACTTCAATTTACCACATAGCACTGTGAAGCAGTGTGCAATTATCTACATAATGCTTCATTGTTGATTAATGAAGAGTGAAATGTAAGCCACGAAGGGAGAAGGGGACAGTGAAAGGAGGCCACAGAGGCTCACTTTTTTTTAAACAACTTAACTGTTTTGCCTGGACTGCCACTAGGTGTCTTTTCTGGTCCAGGAGAAGCCAAGTGCAAGTTCTAAACATTTGCCGACTCTCAATGCGGCTCTATCTCTTTGGGGACATAAGCTCTAGAGTTGAGAGCACCCATAGGATTCACGCTTCTCTGACTCTGGGTTTCTCTTTAGGGTTTTACCAGATGGAAAACTAGCACCTCAGAGCCAGTGAGATGGTGAGCTAACAGGCTTTATCGACAGATGGAGAACCCCAAGTGTGAATGAAAACAGCTTCAGCTTGAAAAGAAAAAAATTCCGAATCCAATTTATGTAAGCAAATAGCCATATCAAACCAATTATCTAAAGGAATTGGTCCAATGGCTATCTTAGTGACTCCAAAAAAGAGATATTTTGTTAATGCTTTTGAATAGATTATATCAGGTTGAGCAAGAGTGATGGTTTCCTCTTAAATGGGAAACTAACATAGGGTGAAGAGTTCGTTGCCTTTTGTTGGTGGTAACAGGATTGTTATTGACAGTTTGGGGCAATCAAAACTCTAGGCTACAAATTTCACTGCACATTGTTTGGAAAACCTTAGGTATATCCTTACACTCATGCTTTATCTGAATGTAAAGAAATTAATGTGGGGCTATTGGATCAGGTAAATAGAAAATAGTTCCATTATTCAGGAATAGAATTAAACGTATAACATATTTGCCTCAAGATGACTTCAGGTTTATCCCTGCACTATACCTATAACCTTTATTTTTTTTCTGTTTCCAGAAATAACTTCTAGTACTTAGTTTAGTTAATTTTATAGATTAATTTTAAATAAATATAGATTATTTAAAATAATTTTATAGATTAATTTTACAACCTATTTATCAGAATTATACAAATCTTATAAAATGCATCTTTCTTTGGTTAATATTTTATATGTGTTCTATCCAATGCAAAGAGAAAGTGATGAAATGATTATAGGTATTTTAACCTTTTTTTACTAAGCTTCTATTTGTTTCTCAACTTGACAAAAAAAGTCCAGATATACATACTACATTCTACTGACCATCATTTCACATGTTCTTTGGTTTTTAAGTATCATAAAAATTGGAAAGTATTTTTTGAGGGACCCTAATCTATGAATGTAAATATGCTTCAGATAAAAATCATGAGTCTCCACATAAATGAAAAAGAATCTCTAATATTAATTGAAATAATTTACAAAATGTATTTTATGGGAAACAGATTTTTCCCCTTAGGTTCACACAATCTAAATTCCATCTTAAAACTAGTTTTTATATTCTGAAGAAATTACACATCAGTCTGAAGGGTAATATATATCTGAGAAATTTAAATTTGAAGAACTTTTTATGATTGAAAGTCTTAATTATATCATTGCTGGCAGTAACACTAGTAGGCCTTTGATAAGTCAGAATTCTTTTCATTAAAATGAAATGAAATGTTGAAGTTGGCTTTCCTATTGAAATTCCCCTCTGCTGTTTTCTTCCTGCCACTGGGAACATAGAATCCATGCAGCAGAGCTGTAAAGGGCCACACAAAAAGCCATATCTGAGGTGGCCAGGGAGCTTAACAGTCATGGGAGCCTTCTGCACGGTGGCAACACTGAATTGGTCATAATGGTGCATGGCTCACCATCTGTCTGATAAAACAGCTCAGCGTGCTAAGTGTTATTGACAGGAAGATGGGCAAACTGCCTCCTTTTGGGGGGTGCTGGCTGACCCTACCTCAATGCCTGGCAACCTTTCAAAATTCTATTTCTTCAGGGTAAAATGCCATCAATCTATCCACCCCAGTATATCCCTTTTCTTAGGGTACATGCAACATTCTTTCTGAAAGGAACAGCTATTACCATATTCCACTCATCTAAAATGATGAGATTTAGGAGCCTAAATGGGGTAATGTAAAAGCAACCTTTACTTATAGCTAAAATTTACCAGATTCCAGAGGGACATCTGATGAGCAGTAGAGGTGAACAGCATGATGGTTCTAGTGATTACTGCCAAGTTATAAAGATGGTGAGCTAAGCAGTAGGCTGAATACAGTCTCATCCAGCTGCTCACCCCCACAGTAATATGCAAGTGCAGTTAGATTTCTAGAGACAGCTAGTTTTAAGTGATTAGGGAACAGATGTGGAATTTCAGGCCTTCAGAGGAGGTTGTCCTTTTCTTGACAATTAACTGTAATTTTTTCCTTTTAAAAAATATTTTTCTTGATTTCAAAGAGGAAGGGAGGGGGAGAGAGAGATAGAAACATCAATGATGAGAGAGAATTATTGATTGGTGGCCTCCTGCATGCCACCTACTGGAGATCGAGCCCACAACTTGGGCAAGTGCCCTTGACCCGAATCAAACCTGGAACCCTTCAGTCTGCAGGCCAGCACTCTATCTACTGAGCCAAACTGACTAGAGCTCCTTTTTATTTTTTTATTTTTATTTTTTTAAAATATATTTCTTTATTGATTTCAAAGAGAATGGAGAGAGATAGAAACATCAATGATGAGAGAGAATCATTGATCAGCTGCCTCCTGCAAACCCCCCACTGGGGATCGAGCCCACAACCCAGGCATGTGCCCCCAACCGGGATCGAACCCGGGACCCCTTAGTTCGCAGGCTGACGCTCTATCCACTGAGCCAAGCCGGCCAGGACTCCTTTTTATTTTTTATGTGTGTGTGTGAAAAAACAGCTTTACTGAGGTATAATTTATATACTGCAAAATCCACCCATTTTAAGTATAGAATTCAATGATTAAAGCATTGTAACCTATCACCTTTTACTTAAGTAAGAAATTCTC